ATTATCAGCCTTATGTGTGCTATGAACCCAATCTTTTACCTGGGACTTGGTTTGAGCTCTGTGAAAAGTCAGGAGAAGAAACCCTTTACAAATTAACTTGGGTATCCCCTCGTCATCAAGGAAGCGTGTTTGTATACTTAGATGCCTGTCAGATAATAAACACACTTCTTAAAAAAATAGTTGTAGCCCCAACATGCTAGAACACCCCCGTTAGAAAAGTCTCAGGCTGGGGGCAATGGATTAGGCCTGTAATCCCAGCACTTTGGGAAACCAAGGCAGATGGATCACCTGAGGTCAGGAGTTAAAGATCAGCCTGACCAACATGGAGAAACCCAATCTCTACTAAAAATACAAAATTAGCCAGCCTTGGTGGTACATGCCTGTAATCCCAGCTACTCTGGAGGCTGATACAGAAGAATTGCTTCAACATGGGAGGCAGAGGTTGCGGTGAGCCAAGATTGCGCCATCACACTCCAGCCTGGGCAACAAGAGCAAAACTTCCTCTCCAAAAAAGAAAAAAGAAAAGTCCTAACCTCGTGCACATGGTGTAGCTGCAAAACCTGTAATCCTCAAAGGAAGCAGGCTGTGCTTACTCAAATCTCAGTGTGGATCAGTGATGCTCTAAGCTGGTACAATTATGATAACCGTGAAATAGGAGATAAAGGAGGAATCTGCAACCTCATAGAATTCACTCTCGGACACAAACTCACCTATTTAGACTACAGGCATCAAAATACTGGTAGGATATGATAATTTAACTAAGATAGATGAAGAAAATGCTCAGAAAAGAAAGTTAGGCCTTGTGTATCTTAAACAATGGGCAAATCGAGACACTGTTTTTCTGTATCATCAAAAAGACCTGAGTTCATCGACCTTCACAGTGGTTTCGAGTCTTGAAGCTATTCAATGAACATTTTAACCAAGCAATTCCTGAGTCACCTTCCACCACTAGGAATCTATTTGCTCCGTCAGCTGGAAGTATAGCAGGAAATCTAGGAGTCACCTCATGTTACGTATGTGGAGGAACTAACCTGGGGGACCAGTGGCCTCGGGAAGTGAAGAAATTACTACCCCAAGACAATTATACTTTAACTTTTTCTGCCTCAAATACTCCAGAGTTATTGCCCACAGGCTCAAATACTTGGTTTCTCAAGACTTCTATTATAGAAAGGTACCGTATTGCCCAATGGGGAGCCACCTATACTAATCCAGTAGGTGAACTAGCATGTCTAGGACAGGAATATTACAACGTAACTGTAGGAAAGACCCAATGGTGGAGAGAGAACAGACGAGGTAAGAGCAGCTCCAAGCCACCTCGTTTTAACCCATTTTTCAGATTTCCTTCCTTAAAACATTCTTGGTACCAACTAGAAGCTCCAAATGCCTGGTGGGCACCTTCAGGCCTCTATTAGATTTGTGGCCTGCAGGCATACAGATACTTGCCAGAAAAATGGATGAGGGCTTGTGTATTAGGCATCATCAAACCACCATTCTTTTTGCGTCAACTGAGGCAAGGGAAAACATTAGGGTACCCCATATGTGATGAGTCCAGAAACAGAAGCAGGTGAGCAATAGACAAAGAAAGATGTACAAACAGAAGACTGGAAAGACACAGACTGACCCTCAGAAAGAAGAATTAATTATTATGGTCCAGCTACTTGGGCACAAGATGGGATGTGGGGATATAGCACTCCCAGTTATATGATAAACCGCATCATTAGGTTACAGGCAGTCCTAGAAATTATAACCAATGAACATCCAGAGCTTTAGACTTGCTAGCTGTACAAGCTACACAGATGAGAAATGCAATATACCAGAACAGGCTAGCACTAGACAATCTCCTGGCCTCAGAAGGAGGGGTCTGTGGAAAATTTAACCTAACCAATTGTTTAGAAATTGATGACAATCAGCCAGGTGCAGTGACTCATGCCTGTAATCCCAGCAGTTTGAGAGGCAGAGGCCGGTGGATCACCTGAGGTCAAGAGTTCAAGATCAGCCTGATCAACATGGAGAAACCCTGTCTCTATCAAAAATACAAAAAATTAGCTGGGCATGGTGGTGCATGTCTGTAATCCCAGCTATTCTGGAGGCTGAGGCAGGAGAATTGCTTGAACCCTGGAGGTGGAAGTTGCAATGAGCCAAGGTTGTGCCATTGCACTCCAGTCTGGGCAACAAGACCAAAACACTGCCTCAAAAAAAAAAAAAAAGGAAAAAAAAAAAAGAAAAGAAAAAAGAAAGAAATTGATGACAATCGACAAGCAGTAATGGAGATCACTGCCAGAATGCAAAATCTGGCCCATGTCCCATGTCCTGGTCCAAACTTGGAAAGGGTGGTCTCCAGATTCTCTTTTTGAAGAGTGGTTTTTGTCTTTCGGCAGCTTCAAAACTCTTATAGAGAGTGTAATTCTCATATTAGGCCAATGCCTGATACTCCCTTGCTTCTTAACTCTTTTATTTAGAAGTATACAAACAACCATAGAGGCATCAGTGGCTAGGCACACTACATCCCAAATAATGGCTTTGACTACATGTCAGCCTTTCTTCTTGGAGGAAGAGAATCCACATGGTGAAAAGACAGTCCTACCCATATAGGACTCCTCTAAGGGTATTTTTCTTCCTCATACTCTGCCTTTTTTTGTTCCCTTTCTGAATCACATGAAGTACAGATGCACAGGAGAAGAGCCTGTAGGTCAAATCTTGAAGTATAACATTAGATGTCCTAACCTAATAAAGTAGCTTGTTAAAGTGTAACCTGTCTTCAGTCTTGCCTTCCAGGCTAAGCAAAAGCCTCCAAAGATGATACCACGAGCCCTGCATGGCCCCAGATGGATGGCTGGTTAGTCAATGATGGGTAAGATTCCCCAGACAAGGGGAAAACCTCAGACAGGCACAGCCACAGAGAGGCCAACAGGAGCCAAAGGAGTTTGCCTACTCCTGCTATCAGGAGGTCCAAAATAGATGTCAACAGGAGAAAGTACACTGGCGAGCTAGCTTTGCATCCGAGCAGACAAACAGTAACACTTCAATGACAGGCTGACTGCTCCATCCAGGTATTATGTGAATTGTGAATTGTAAAGTCTCCAAAAAAAAAAAAAAAAAAAAGAGAAAAAGAGAGAAAAGTCTTCTAGTAATAAAGCCCTTTTAAAGAAAGCTTTTAAGGAAGTAATGAGGAGGAAAATAAAAATCAAAGACAGAATTAAAATAGAATAAGTAATAGTTAACATTGGGACTAGGTTAAGAATAATCATAGTAAGCAAAACACAAGTAACCCCTCCCAGCTTAGCCCAACTAGTTCCAGCTGCAAACTTGTCTCACAGCCCACATTCCAGGCTAGTTATACAAACTGTATTTAGAGAAAGTAGAGGCAGAGCAGGCCTAGCCCAGACCCCTTGACTTAGACAAGAGCACCAGAGCAGACCTTTCTACCTGCAGCCCACACATTCTTCTGCAATTCCTGTTTTTCTTACCCCAGGGGCAAGGTTACGAAGTCAAGATAACCACAAAGAAAATATACATTTTCCTGGCTGTGCACTGTGGCTCACGCCTGTAATATTAGCATTTTGGGAGGCCGAGGTGGGTGAATCACCTGAGATCAGGAGTTCAAGACCAGCCTGGCCATCATGGTGAAACCTCATCTTAAAAAAAAAAAAAAAAACAAAAGAAAATATACATTTTCCAAAGATTGTAAAACTTGTCACAAGTCAATAACGAGGTGTCTTAGGCAGAAACCTGTTTTCTGCCTCATTTTCTTGCTTCAAGTTGTATAAAAGCAATATGTTCTTTTTGTTCAGGGCTGGTGGCCATTACGTGCATTAGCCTTGCTGTCAGTCAGTGGACCAATAAATTCTCTTAGAGTCTCCATGGTCTTTTTGTCCTCTTTGGCTTGAATTCCTGCAATAATATGCAGCTGTGAGCCAGAATGATATCTTCCCTAGGAAGAATTTCAACACCACTGACTGCTGCTTAGAGAAGACTATCAATAGTTTATGAGGTGAACGTTGTCACAGTGCCAGTGAGGGACACTTCTGTGATGCTCCTCAAAAACCAGAATGGGCTGGGCATAGTGGCTCATGCCTGTAATCCCAGCACTTTGCGGGGCTGAGGCAGGTGGATCACCTGAGGTCAAGAATTCAAGACCAGCTTGGGAAATAAGGTGAATCCTGTCTCTACTAAAAGTACAAACATTAGCTAAGGGTGGTGGTGCACACTTGGAATCCCAGCTACAAGGGAGGCTGATGCAGGAGAATTACTTGAAATTGGGAGGCAGAGGTTGCAGTGAGCCGAGACTGCATTACTGTACTCCAGCCTGGGTGACAGAGGGAGGCTCTGTCTGAAAAAAAATAAAAAACAGCATGATAGCTGGAAACACTTGTGAGTCAGTGTCATGCTTTCTATGTCATATCCTGGGCTATGCTCACAATTCTGTTCAGGGTTTCTAAGGGCATCTCTGCCTAGAGCAGGACAATGTTCAATCATTAACAGTCAAAGTGTTTTCATCAGTTTTCTCCTTTTATGTAAATCCACTCCATAGGAGAGTCCCATAGCAGCTATCCATGAAAAATAGGAGAGTCATCACTGCAGAAAACAATATGTACATCAAAAACATATATGGGGACCAGGCAAGGTGTCTCATACCTGTATTCCCAGCACTTTGGGAGGCCAAGGATGGCAAATCATCTGAGGTCGGGAGTTCGAGACCAGCCTGACCAACATAGAGAAACCCCGTCTCTACTAAAAACACAAAATGAGCCAGGTGTGCTGGTGCATGCCTCTAGCCCTCCAGCTACTTCGGAGGCTGAGGCAGAAAAATCACTTGAACCAGAGGTTGCAGTGAGCAAAGACTGTGCCATTGCACTGCAGCCTGGGCAGCAAGAGCAAAACTCCAACTCAAAAAAAAAAAAGCCTGTATGGGGCAAAAATCACAGCAGAGAATACAAAAGCAGGAAGAGCCAAGATAGACAAGGGCAGACTCCTCATGTCTGGAGGGACATTTTCCTCACCCACAGACTCCAGGTTCCTGTAGTTCTCCAACATCACGTCCCTGTATAAAGCCCTCTGCGCAGGGGTCAGGCATTTCCACTCCACCAAAGAGAATTCTATAGCCACATCGCTGAAAGTCAAGTGTCCCTAAAATGAAAAATTATGGAGGACTGAGTTATCACCTTCATACTAAGTGAGAAAAGAGAAATTAAGTATCCATTTCATCACAAACTGTTCTGACAAACCCACATTAAGATGTTTTTGAACATTCTTTTCTCTATAGTTGCATTTTACTGCACTTTTTCATGAAACATTTTAAGATCCCCTAAGTCACTGTGGAAGTCTTGGTTTTATGGACAATATGAAAAATACACAAATAAGAAGAAAACACTGGGCTGGGTATGGTGGCTCATGCCTGCTATCCCAGCACTTTGGGAGGCCAAGGCGGGAAAATCATTTGAGGTCAAGAGTTGGAGACTAGCCTGACCAACATGGTGAAACCCTGTCTCTACTAAAAGTGTAAAAAGTAGGTGCGGTGGTGGCGTCTATAATCTGGGCTACACAGGAGGGAGAGGCAGAAGAATCACCTGAACCCAGGAGACAAAGACTGCAGTGAGTCCAGATCACTCCACTATACCCCACCGTGGGTGACAGAGACTCTGTCTCAACAACAAAAAAACAAGGCTGGGTGCGGTAGCTCATGCATGTAATCCCAGCACTTTGACAGGCCAAGGCCGGCACATCATAAAGTGAGGAGTTCAAGACCAGCCTGGCGAACATGGTGAAACCCCATCTCTTCTAAAATTACAAAAATTAGCCTGTGTATTGGCACATGCCTGTAATCCCAGCTATGCAGGAGGCTGAGGTAGAAGAATAGCTTGAACCCAGAAGGCAGAAGTGGCAGTGAGCTGAGATCACAACACTGCACTTCAGCTTGGGTGACAGGGTGAGACTCACAAATAAATAAATAAATAAATAAATAAATAGAAATATTGGCCACGTGTGGTGACACACGCCTATTATCTAGCTCTTTGGGAGGCTAAAGTGGGGATCACTGGAGCACAGGAGTTTGAGGCTGCTGTAAACTCTGAATTGTGCCATTGCACTTCAGACTTTAGCCACAGAGCGGCACCTGCTCTCTATTTTTATTTTTATTTTTTGAGACAAAGTCTCATTCTGTCATGCAGACTGGAGTACAGTAGCAGAATCTTGGATCACTGCAACCTCTCCCTCCCAGGTTTAAGTGATTCTCCTGCCTCAACCTCCGGAGTAGGTGAGATTACAGACATGCACCACCATACCCTGCTAATTTTTGTATTTTTAGTAGAAATGGGGTTTCATCATGTTGGCCTGGCTGCTCGTGAGCTCCTGAGCTCAAGTGATCCACTTGCCCCGGCCTCCCTAAGTGCTGGGATTACCAGCCACTGCACCCAAACCAAGATCCTGTCTCCTAAAAAAGATTTGAGTCACAGACGTGTTGATCTACTAGTGTGGCTTCCAATGCATTACAAAATCAGATACAAAATATCTCCCCTTATTGGTCTCCTTTTCCAGAATTCACCAGATATCTGTGCACATTAACCTGTGTGTTTCATACGTAGTTTCTCTGATCTGGTCACAAAGAGCTGATATCCAGATGTGGCCCCTGAACAATGCAGGTTGCCCAGCAGCACTGACACCAGGAACTGAGGGAAGACATTGGTGAGTGCGAGCCAACGGGTCAGGCAGGATGCTTCATACTCAGAACAGACTGGCTACCACAATAACTGGCATTTCAGAAAGGAAAGAGACAGATGAATCCACCGAGGAGTGTCACTTTACCTGAGGAAGAGCCATGCCTGGCTCCTTTTCTTGCCTCTTCTGAGCTCCTTCCTCACCTGAGTCTTTAGAAATCAATCCTGTACATGAAAAAAATATAAGACGTAATGTTAGAAATGAGTCACTCCCTTCCTGTGACAACACACACAAAGGGGTGAGACCTCACCCTGTAGAAAGATGGGCCTCTGCTGCCCACTGTACCAGAGATCATAAAGAAAGAAGACAGTCCCATAGGAACACCTACAAGTGTATGTTTCACCCTGGTCTTCAGATCTCACTCCCCTCCTGGAGAAGCCCCACACACCAGGCAGCAGTGGGGAGCTGGGCTGGACTGAGCTCCCCTTCAGGGCACAGACCCTGCCCTGACCAAACCCCATCCAGAGCACAGCCCCTCCCCTCTCCATGGATCACAGGCTGAGCTCAGTCCTCAGAACTGGAGGACACAGAACTTTGACCCTCAGTGCTGCACACAGATTACTATTACCTGGAACACTGCCAGTATTTGTGCATCACTTATTTGTGACCTGGAAGCCCCCTCACTACTTCAAGTCTTTTTGCCTTTGCTTCAAGATGTTCCGCCTTTGCAGACCAAACCGATGTACTTCTTACATATATTGATATCTCAGTTCTCCCTAAAATGTGTAAAATTAAGCTGTACCCCGATCAGCATGGGCACATGTCGTCATGATAAGACTCAAGGTGAATTGAGTCTAACCCCGTTTTTGCCCTCCTTGTGCTTTTTCTTTTTTAATTTTTGGAGGACTCGAATCTATTTACAATTTGAGTTAAAACTGAGCAGTGGCCGGGCGTGGTGGCTCATGCCTGTAATCCAAGCAATTTGGAGGCCAAGGCGGGCGGATCACCTGAGGTCAGGAGCTCAAGACCAGCCTGACCAAAATGGTGAAACCCGTCTTAAAATAAATAAATAAATAAAAATTTAAAAATGAGCACTGGCAATGCACCGTGGCTCACGCCTGTAATTCCAAGACGGGAGGATGGCGTGGGTGGATCACAAGGTCAGGAGATTGAGATCATTCCGGTAAACACGATGAAACACTGTCTCTACTAAAAATACAAAAAAAATTAGCCAGGCATGATGTTGGGTGCCTGTAATCCCAGCTACACAGGAGGCAAAGACAGGAAAATCGCTTGAGCCAACAAGGTGGAGGTTGCAATGAGCCAAGACAGTGCCACTGCACTCCAGCCTGGGTGACAGAACAAGTGTCAGGAAAGAAAATAAAAGAGAAAAGAAAAGAAAAGGGAGGAAGGGAGGGAGGGAGTGAAGGAAGGAAGGAAGGAAAGAGAAAAGAAAAGAAAGAGGGGGCAAGGGGGGAGAGGGAGGGAGGGGAGAAGGAGAAGGAGGGTGAGGGAGGGAAAAAAAATGAGCACTACTCTGTCTCAGGAGAAAAGCCACACACTGTATTTTGTCAGCCATTTTAGGGATGAGTGTCACTCTGAGCTTTTCCGGTCTTCTTCCTCACCTCTATGTTACAAGTGAACTCACTGAGGCTCACAGCCGGAGACAGTTCACCAAGTTATCTTGAGAAGCTCTGAGATAAGGAGGTGTGGCTGATTCCCATGTGATGGCCTGCAAGGGAAAATAGGCTGCTTTGGTCTTTCTTCTCTAGAAAATTCCAAGACCAGCTGGGAATGGTAGCTGATTACACCCCTGTAATCCAAGCACTTTGGGAAGTTGAGGCAGGCAGATCACTTCAGCCCAGAAGTTTGAAACCAACCTGGGCAACATAGCGAAATGCCTTCTCTACCAAAAATACACAAAGTTAACCAGGCATCATGGCACACGTCTGTGGTCCCAGCTACTTGGGAGGCTGATGCAAGAAGATCACTTGAGCCTGGGAGGCAGAGGTTGCAGTGATCCAAGATGCTGTCACTGCACTCAAGCATGGGTGACAGAGTGACACCTCATCTCAAAAAACTGACAAAACAGGCTGGGTGCAGTGGCTAACGCCTATAATCCCCAACACTTTGGGAGGTCGAGGCAGGGGATCCCAAAGTCAGGAGTTCGAGACCTGTGGGTAAACCCCCATATAGGCACCGAGGAATGAGAGCTAAGCAGAACTCTGACATAGGGCTTGAAGAATTTCTCACTTTATAGTGTTACTACTCAGCTATTTCCTTTTATATAATCCTTTACATAATCATATATTAGTTTGTAGAATTAGGGCTTTAAAAATCCCTTTATATAATCCTCTATATATAATCATATAATAGTTAATAGTATGAGTGCCTAAACAGTATTTCCCTACATATATACCTATAATTATATCTTAGTTCATAATCGGAGGAATGCCTAGAGTGGACACAGTACAGAGCATGAATTAAGGAATAAGCACCTTATAATCAGACGAATGCCTACAGCAGACACAGTGCAGAGCATGATTTAAGGGAAAACAGTTATACCAGGACAAGAATCCATGGCCCAGGCGGCAGCGTTCAGTATTGTAAAGATACCCACTGTATGGCAGGCTTGGGGCGCGAGCCACTCCTCCTGATAAAGGAGTTGTAGGACCTTGCTCCAGTTCTTGTGGAAGGTTGCCCTCAGAACGGCAATCCACCTTGGTGACTGTGAACTTTAACAACTCTTGCTACTGTGCTGCTTGAAAAGCATCTTCCCATAGAATCCATTGGAAGCTACCAGAAGGTGGCGGTAATCTTGACTGTCACTGCTATGTGACTTAAAGCATCCCCCATAAATCTTCTTAGAAGTAGTTTGCCCATAGATAGAAGTATTGCACACTGCACCCTCTTCACTGTGCACAGCCCACCTTCAAGCCTCGGTGACCTAATGGGGGGTGGACCCCTTACTGCACACGGCCCTTGCCTTCGTGGGAATGGACCCCTCACTGTGCACTGTCCACCTCCTGGCCTAGGTGCCCTAATGGGGGTGGACCCCATGTTTTATTGCTCACGAGCCTATCACTATCCTTAAAGATGATTTCACTCACTGCCCTGCCCCCTAACCTACACACAATAAATACTCATGCTTCTACACATTCGGGGCCTCGCCTGTCTCTGCTTATAGGTGGTGTGGCCCCTCGAACCCGGCTGCGTTTTCCTTGTACTTCTGTGTCCTGTCTCTTTATTTCTCAGATCCTGCACCTCAGCACAGCATAAGGCACACCCCACGACCCTGTAGGGCCCTCAGCCCTACAAAGACCAGCCTGACCAACACTGTGAAACCTGGTCTCCACTAAAAATACAAAAATTAGCTGGGCATGCTGACATACCTATAGTCCCAGCTACTTAGGAGGCTGAGGCAGGAGAACTGCTCGAACCTGGGAGGTAGACCTTGCAGTGAGCTGAGATCACAGCACTGCACTCCAGTATGGGTGACAGAGTGAGGCTTCATCTCAGGAAAGGCACAACCCACGTGGCTCATGCCTGTAATCCCAGCACTTTGGGATGCAATGCAGCTGGATCACTTCAGCCCTGGATTTGGAGAACAGCCTGGGCAACATGGCAAAAGCCCGTCTCTACCAAGAACACAAAAATTAGCTCGGTGTGGTGGTGCCCATCTGTGGTCCCAGCTACTCCGGAGACTGAAGTCGAAGGATCCCTTCAGCGAAGAAGGTTGACACTGCAGTGAGCTGTGATTCTGTCACAGCTCTTTCACCTGGGTAACAGAGTGACACTGATCTCCAATAAAAAACAGAAAAGGGAAACACCTGGGTCCTGTGTCTGGGGGCAGGGAATCTAAGGCTAGTTAAGGCGAACTTTCCAAAACTAGAAGAAAAGGAAAAACCCCATGTTCCTATCCAGAGTAACAAAGATTCAAAGGCTACTCTCCGTACAGCCCTCCCCCTTCCACCAAGTCTCCCATGGAAAGGGAAACAGCAAAGCACTGCCTATCCCTTCTGCATAGGGCACCCATCTGCTCTGGCCTCAGGCCAATTCACCTGAGCAATTCACCTCAGCCAAGGGCCGCATCTTTCATCCAGATAAGGGGTAGCCCATAGGACCTCAGAAGAAAGACTTTAACCCCCCCAAATTTTTTGTTTGTTTTTTGTTTTTTTTTTTTTGAGACGGAGTTTCGCTCTTGTTACCCAGGCTGGAGCGCAATGGCACGATCTCGGCTCACTGCAACCTCCGCCTCCTGGGTTCAGGCAATTCTCCTGCCTCAGCCTCCTGAGTAGCTGGGATTACAGGCACGCACCACCATGCCCAGCTAATTTTTTGTATTTTTACTAGAGACGTGGTTTCACCATGTTGACCAGGATGGTCTCGATCTCTTGACCTCGTGATCCACCCGCCTGGGCCTCCCACAGTACTGGGATTACAGGCTTGAGCCACCGCGCCCGGCCAACCCCCCAAAATTTTGTAAACAGAGCCCTGGAGATGCTCCCTAGGGCCCACTCCCACCTTGTGGAGTGATTTCTTAGATCAATAAATTAATGCTTTCGGCTTTCGCTGCTTCGCTCCTTTGTTATTTTGTGTTTTTGTTTTTTTTTTCCTGTGTTCAACAGCCACGAACCTGGACATCTCAAACTCAAGGCTGCCTTCCGGTAAAACAGAGCAAGGATGGGATAAGAGGGCTGCCTCCAGGAAGAGGACCTTTTCCAGGGGTTGGAAGTGGGGAGCAGCAGGGCCCGACAGGAGGATGGAGGTGGGGAAGGACAGCGCCTTTGGAAGGGGTGGGGTCTGCAAGATCGCAGGACTGGGCCGAGGACGCGCCTCCCCGGGACTGGGGCTGCACGCT